GGTGGGGTCTAAAATATATATTTCAAGGTGTTACAAACGTAATGAGATATACCCTCCATACTATGGTGGAGGATATAAAAATAAGATTACTCCCTAATACTTATAGCTTTAACCACCGGAATATATACGAAAGCGTAAAAAACTGTTAACCCTTTGTGTCTAATACGGCCATTCCTATTATTTTACTGCAGAGGGTGGTTCCCATTAAAAATCAGATAGTCCAATTAAAGGCAAATCACGTATATGTCTTTGGCTGGTTATGAGATTTTAATTTTCAGATAAACTTTACATAGCTTTAAACACTGTTTTAGCCCTGATCATTTCAATGTATTCAAACACACAATTCATGTGTCAATATCATTTAAATGCTTAGACATATTCAAATATGCAATGGTGTTGAAAATCACAAACTAATAAAAAAAGTTATGGTTTTTTATTAACTCGCAGAAAATCAAAGCAGAAGAAACCAAAGGTCTTTTTAACTTTTTTGTGCAACCAACGTTCTTAGTAAGACGAGGTTACTAGATCACACCTAGATAATGACCTGACCATCAAACAGTCGCGTAAAGTTACCTAGTCAGCACTTTGTGGCGGAAATGACCATTCAAAATGAATAGTTTTGTTTTGACTTTGTATTTTTTAATTTTAAATGAAACTACCAAACGAATAATAGCCTTAAATTCATGGGATTTGCAGGGCTGGTAAAACATTTTTGTTTTGTATTTTTTCTTCTTAAAATTATACGAAACATAATCACTTGGTTTTTGGAACTATGTTGAAATTGAATTTTTTTTATCGAAATTTGGCACAACGATTTTATGTTTTTAATATTGTAATTTGTTATTATGTTTTGTCGTTTCTTTTTTCTTTCTCATTTTCGCTTTCTATTGCTGTGGCCAAATTACTGCTTGCTGTTGGCAGATATTTCACAATAAACCTCCGTTGCAGCAAAAGAAACATAGTTTATTTTCTTATTTAGTTTTTTTTTTTTTGCTTACAAAAACTATGTATTAAATTAAAAATTTTATGCATTTTAAAATACACAATTCACATGTTGTGGTATTTTCTGTGCTCAGTTCCAATTCCGAGTGAAAGCTTGTCACACAAATTGCATTAATGTTTTTATTTTTTCGCAATAATCTTTGATTGATTGTTGCATAATTTCTTTTGATACAAGATACAAATCTATTTTTGTCATCAAAAATTCACGCTTAAAATACGTTTTCAATCGTACGTGGTGCCTCCCAAAATCTATTAAAAAATATTATTGAGCATCATTTTTGGCCCACAAACAACTATATAGCCAATTTCTTCTATTTTAAGAAAACATTGAATACCCTCCACCATTAACTAAAAAAAACATTTAAAAAAAAAGTATCTGGATTCAAACGTGTTCCTCTTTAATCTACAAATATCAGTGTAGTCGGCTGGATAATTCAGTTAAAGCTTTCAAAAAACAATAAAGTGGTTGAAGCCGCTAGAAAATGTTGCTTAAATCGTCAAAATACGTGCACTATAGGAAAACGTAGACCTACATATTCAAAGCTTTGACACCGGAGGTAAAACATATTACGAACTACAAATACCAATTTTTAGACAAATCGGAGGCTAAATGTAACTAGAACCATCAAAATACCAAATATCGGGAGATACCATTATATGAGGGCCATAGTAAAACGTGAACCTACTTACCCGATGTTATGCTACCAGAGGTAGAACCCCTTTAAAAACTATTTATATTAAATTTGGAACAATTCCGTGGAGTAATGTGGCTAAAACCATTAAAATACCGAATACAGGGAAGTACCGTTATAGGGGAGCTATACCAAAACCTTGACCGATATATCTCATTCTCAATACCAGCCATTCTAGACATAATACAAATTATTGGGCCTAATTTAAAACAAGTTAAAAAGCAGGAAGTTCGGCCGTGCCGAACTTTGAATACTCTCCACCATTTGGAACGAATTTGGAATTTTTCAAAAAATAAAATCCATAAAAAAATTCTGTTAAAATTTTAAAAATACCGAAAATAGCTGTTATATTGGGGCCTATACGACGTGGACCCCAACATACATAGGCATTGTTTGTCATAAGCCATTACCATATTCAAATTCGAAATTTGAAATAAACGGTGAAAAATATAGCTAAAATCATCAAAATATCGTATATAGGGAGGAACCGTTATATAGAGCTGTGCGAAGACCTGGACCACAGGCTGTAGCATCCATTACGAACTTCAAATACCAAATTTGAAACAATTCCGTCGACTAATGTCGCTAAAATCATCAAAATACCGAATATTGGGAGGTACCGTTATATGGGAGCTATACGAAGACGTGGACCTGCACAGATAATTTTCTGTCTTAGGCTGTAGTATCCATTTCAAACTTCAGATACTAAATTTGAAACAATTCCAGTGAATTACCGTTATATGGGGACCATACCATTATATGGGGGCTATATGAAAACGTGGACCCATTTACGAACTTAGCCTGCCTACTGGAAAAAGAAACATGTGTGCAAAATTTTAGCCTTCTATCTCAATTCGTTCGAAAGATAGCGTGATTACAACAGACAGACGGACATGGCTAAATCGACTTAGAATTTTACGCTGATCAAGAATATATATACTTTGTTGGGTCTGACATGAGTATTTCGAGGAGTTACAAACGGAATGACAAAGTTAATATACCCTCCATAGTATGGTGGAGGGTATATAAAACGTGATTTCAACAGACAGTCAGACAGACATCGTTAAATCGACTTAGTATCTTATGCTGATCATGAATACAAATAATTTATGGGGTCTACAATGAATATTTGGAGGCGTTACATACAGAATAACAAATTTAATATACCCTACTTACCATGGTGATGCGTATAAAAATAATTGTATATTGAAAATTCGGTTAAAATTCTCAGGTTTGAATTTTGTATTAAACATCTAGTTCTTAATCTTTCAAACATGTATTCAATTGTAATTCAATTGTGGCTTTGTTGCTTTTTGTACTAACTCCAAAGGTGAAGTGGGGCAACGAACTGTAGATGTAAGATTTTTATTGTAAATAAAGTGGTTTAATACTCTTGATATAAATAAACGCGACTTCAAAGGTCATGCGTTTAATAACCTCCACCCTAAAAATATTGCAAATTCTTCTAATTCATTATTGTCCAAATGAAATTGTTATCTTTGATACTGGCATAAGAGTATTGTCGCCGGCCTTTTTCAATACACCCAATATACTAGATCAACGTACGAAAAGGAGCATGAGTTCTTTCAACCGGTTATTCATAGAGCGATAGACGAGCTCTTTCAACCCTTGACGCAATAGACGTTAGACGATTTTGTAAATGTCAACAAAAGCGTAAATCGTCCCAAGCACTCTATTTCGAAGGAATTCCGCCGGACATTTTATACCAATTGGAAGAAAATGGATTAAATTAATAAGCCTAACTAATACTATTTGAAATAGATTTCTAAAATTCTCTTTGGCCACCTTAAATGCGAGGTGAAGTTGTTTCTGAGTTGTATTCGATATATTTCCCCGAAAATCGTTACTTGGTTCACAAAAATACATAAACAGACGGAGTACGGACGCGCATAAATCGACCTAGAGTGTGATTCTATGCAGATCATCTAAAGGAACTACATACAAATATAGGACCAACCGTCATTTTTTTAGATTTTATTGAATGAAAGCAAAAAATGTCGGAAATAGCATCAAATTTTAGAATGAGTTTAGATTTGTTCGAATTGGTCACCTTTGACACGAATTATAGCCTTCAAACGGCCAATGAAACCGTCACACGCTGCCCCAATGTTGCTTAGCGGTATTATGACCCATTCCCGGCGAAGCGCTTGCTTGGGGTGATCGACATTTTGGTATTTTTTAGTGCCAACCTTGCTTTCCAAAATACTCCAGACACAATAGTCCAACGGATTGGTATCCGGTGGCCCTTGTGCGCTGAAAACGAAGCGAGGAACCTCATTTTGTAACCATTCTTAGGTGGCGCGTGCTGAGTCCTGTTGGAATGTCCAAGGTCTGTGGCCAAAATGTTTGCGTGCCCAAGGACTTAATACACCCTCCAGAATATTTTTGCGATAATATTCGGAATTTATTCTGATGCCACGGTCGATTAATACGAGCGGAGAGCGACCATCGCCTGTTATGGCGGCCCACACCAACACCATGGCCTGCGCTTGAGTTCTGGTGGCCAACCGAAGGTGCACAATTTTAGCTGGCCTCTTTGGCAAGTAAACACGATCATTTTGTTTGTTTACAAACTGCTGGCCAATGAATGTTTTCTCATCGGAGAAAACCAAATTCGGCAGTTCACAACTTTCGGCCAAGCGAAGCCACTCTTTAACTATTTTGAGAAAATTTTCTTTCTGTTGCGGTGTAAGCTGTTGCACTTTTTAGAATTTTAATGGCCTTACCCCGAGCTCATTTTTCAATATTTGCCGAATGGAATATTGCGATATGTTCAGCTCACGAGCCATTTTTTGCCAACTGCGACGCGAGTTTTGATCAAGTCGCTTTTTTACTTTTCGAACCATTTCTGCCGAATTTGCTGTTTTCTTCCGTCCACTTCCTCGACGTCGGGCTATGCTACCAGTGTCACAGTAACGAGCGATGGTACGAGACACAAAAGATTTCTTCACATTTAAATGCTGGAGTGCTCTAACGATAGCCACTTTTGGTTTACCAGCCAAATATAAAGAAATCACACTATCACGCTTGAATTCCATCGCGAATAACTTTTTTTCTGGAAAATTCTAACCAAAATGCTTTTGTACGCTTGTAAACAATATAATGAGCGGGGAACGGGTGGCTTGAAAATGACAGCAGTCTGAAATTGGTTAAAGTTTTTTCATCTCACCCTGTATGTTTACATTTTTTTCAAAATTATTCATTTGACAACCCAACATTTCTAAAATACCCATTTTGTACGTAAATTCAAAAACTCTAATCGTTGCAATAAATTTTATTTTGCAGTTCCGCAAAAAAGTCTCCGACTGTTTGGTGGACAATGAAGTCCATGACGATTACTTTCTGTTGCGCTGGCTTCGAGGTAAGATATCCAAACGTTAGTGTGTTCCATATATCAGCTTCAATTAAATTATGTTCTCACCCCACCTTCTATAGCCAGAAAATGGGACGTCGATGCTGCAGAGAAAATGTTAAGAAATGTAGGTATTAAAATTCTTATACCGGTTTCTTTTAGTAGTTAAAAAAAATATTTCATTTCCCTTTCCTTTGTCCAATTAGGCTATGAAAAATCGTATTTCCATCAATATTGACAGTTTGGATAAATGGGAAGCTCCTGAAGTTTTGAGAAAATATTTACCATATGGCGTGGTGGGTTATGACAAAGAAGGATCACCAAGTAAGAAAGGAATACTCCAACGCAAATGTAATGTTCAAATTATTGATTTACCATATCATTTCAGTTATTGTTTGTCCCTTCTACCAGTTTGACATCTATGGCATGTTACACTGTGTAACACGTTTCGATTTCATTCGTTATGTGGTTAAAATCTTGGAAAACGTCATGAAACAGGGCTTCGAACAGAGTAAGACACATGGTGTCAAAGCTCGCCAAGTTGTGGTGATTTTCGATGTAGCCGATTTCAATATGACCCAATACGCCTGGCGCCCAGCTGTTGAATTGGTCATGGCCATGATCAAGGAGTATGAACAAAATTATCCTGAAATATTGAAAATGTGTTACATTATAAATGGTAAGCGTAGCTGATGGAAAATTCTCAATCAATCCTTAGCTAATACTTTTTATTTCAGCTCCCAAGGTTTTCTACTTTGCATTCAATTTTGTTAAGAAATTATTGGATGAATATACCATGAGCAAAATCAGCATTTCCAAATATGGTTCGGACAAATGGAAGGAGGCTGCATTCAGTCATATTGATCCCGATATTATGCCCAAATCATTTGGCGGCAATTTAGTGGAGAATGGTGATGAAAAATGTCCCAGCAAAGTAAGTACTTCAAATGCGCCCGCTTTGTTTTATTAACTGAAGTTATTTTCAATGTAGATTGTCTGGGGCGGAAAAATTCCCAAAGAGTTGTATGTGGAACAGAAAGATGATGATGACAAGAGTTTCATTGAAGCTATTGTGAATAAGGGCAACAAACTGAAATTGGAATTCGATGTTGGCTCCAAGAAACCTACTGAAGAGGACAAATTACTATCGTGGGATTTCCGTACTGTTGATCATGACATCAAATTCGGTATTTACAGCATTGACAATGCCACAGGTGAAAAACGCAGTGAAGTGCCATTAACCAAAGTCTACTCAAATGAAATGAATGAAGTTGGTTTTATTACTACCCGACCCAATACCAAATGTAAGTTCTTTTTTGGCGTTACCGGATTTAGGCAACAATAAACAATCAATCTCTTTTGCAGATACTGTTGTCTTTGACAACTCCGGCAGTTATTTGCGTAGCAAGAAACTACGCTATTGGGTCTCATTGATATCAGAAAACGATGACATGTTGACATTACAATCACAAGTTGGACAAACTGAAGTTGTACCCGCCGATAATAACTGAATCCAGAAAAAAAAAGAACAGCACAACTCCAAATCTTGTACAGTCTATAAAGTAAAACAAACTATTCAACTCATTATATTAAAGAATGTGCAAATCATAGGATCAGATGCTAGCAAGCCAAACATTCCAAACGGGTTATCAGTTTAAGTAGGAAAACTTTAAAATTTATGACAACAAGATAAGAATCCTTTGATGTGCAATATTAGAATGCCTTAGTTAGCAATTATTACCCATCCATCTGTCATCAATATGTAAGCAGGTGTAACTTATTGAAAATATTTATATTTGTGTGTTTAATGAAAGACGTAGCCTTTTTTTAAATATTTGAATCCGGTGTATGTTTAGAATATTTATGTATACAAAACTACCATATGTATGTATGTACGTACTCTTCCGCCTCTCTATTAAATATTAAATGAAATGTGATACTTAATTTGTTTTTGTAATAACTATGTATTTTTGTTTTTGTTTTTTTATTTGTTTCTTTTCTTCTTGTGTATTATTTTTTGTAAATATCTTAAATTTATGGTTACTTTTAAGTAAATGTAGTTTTTTTTTATTTTTTTCTTATTTTCCCTTCTTTAAATTTGTTTGTTTTTGTTTCTTTATGTGTGTATTAATAATTAATAAATTGATTGTTTTTTTTAATGAAATGTTAACAAATGGTTTCTTTTTTGGAAAAAAGTAAAAAAAAACAAAGTCCTCGAAACTGAGACTGTGCGGGTAAGATTTCTGTTTTTTGTTTGTTTTCTAAATTCTATTTAAAAAGGAGCTGTGTATTCATCAGCACAGCTCTAAATTGTCGAAAAGCCTAGAATACATTTACGAAATATTTATGTATGAATGTTCATATATGTATATATTTATAGAAGTATGTATGTGTAGTGGTTGTTTTAATTTAATCAGCCGCCTGTGCTGCATCATACATTGTTATTGGCTGCCGAGCGGCGTTTTCGCCTTCATCACTGAGGGCCGGGATTTTGGGGCATTTGTTGATATCCGGGGCCCACTTGCGGTGGACCCACTGGTCCGCCCATTTGTTGCATTGGGGAATGCATTATTGGATTTGGACTTGATCCAACCATGGGACCAACTGGAGGACCAATTGCCTAAAAAAGACAAAAATACACATTAGTAAATACAAATAAAACGTGAAATTTTATAAATAATTAAAATATAATATTTATATGAAAAATATAACTGTAATAATGATCGTAAGGGAATTCGCGCATTATTTAACTGATCAACCACATACTTAACGTTTTCGTTATTTTCAATAAAAAAAACCAATAAGGAAAAGTTAAAAGTGCCGACTATATGATACCCTACACCACTATGCATATTAAGTAGAGCTCTTGTAACAAAAGAATTAATTTGAAGTAGATCATACCACCTATCAATATTTGGCTTGAGAGCAGTTATAGTTTGGTTTCAGAGGGAACTAATATATAAGAGGCATATCCAATTCTTAATCGATTTACACTAAATTTGACGGAAACATTTTAAACTTTTATACCAAATAACATTGCTATAGAGTGCAATGTTATTTGGTGTTCCACAAAATGGAAACGTACGTCCAGAAATTCACTCCATTTGAGTTGATATTAGCCATTATTTGCACAATAAACCTAAAATCGGATAATGGATATATATGGGAGCTATATCCAAATCTTAGCGGTTCTCAATAAAATTTGACAAAGGTATTTCCGAGCTCTAGAAGATAACGGATTTTCTCCAAATTTGATGTACTTGCTTCTAGACTGAATTCGGTGGGATGTAACAAAATTCAGGTCATTATGACTTATATTGGCCCTTTGGTGCACAATTAACCCAAAATCGGTTGAAATTTTAAAGAATGTTGTATTTTTTGAAATATGATAACACTGAGCTCAAACTGCTTTGTTCAATAAATAGGATTCGAGTATTAAGCGAAATGATTATATTAATACACATTTGTTTGGCGGCTTCACTGGGAGACCTTTGGTTCATTGTATTCATCAAAGGAAGAAATGAAAAATTTGGAGATAAGAGAGATATAGAAGCGACAAGGAGAAGAAAAGTTTGATAGAGAGAAGTTTAGTTAGGATGGTGGTCTGCCTAGTCAGGAAATGGCTTTGGGAAATTTGTAAATGACGGTGGGTTCTATTCGCCAGCCACTTTACTCCCTACTATATGCTATGTCCTGGAACCCAACAAAACTAAATGAGCCCACGTGTTTCAAGGAGGGCTCTCGATTTAATGACACTTGACTTGCATAGTCATAAAGTTGTATATTATTTAGGAGTTATATTAGATGCATTTAGTCTGGCGAATTCTTGTACTCCCAAAATAAACGGTCAAAAATTCGGCCCTGGCACAAGTCATCATGAAATCAGTTTAAATCGGAAATTTGCTCTGTTCCAGAAACTGAAAGTATCTACAAATTTTGATTTTTTTTCCATATCATAAAGGAAAAATCTTTTTTGTAACACATAAACATTATTACAAATGCAGTTCTGGAACAAAACAATTATTAAATTCGGATTAAGACTTCTAATACACATGATGATTAATTATTTACTAATCTTCGGGTCTTCGCGCTTCACGTGCAAATAACAATTAAAACTTTTCGTTTTCAGTTGATATTGTAAATTCAATCAATCACTTGGAATTTAATAAGAAATCCCTTTTATGTTAAATGTTAAAATTTTAGATATCTAAAAAATAAAAAAACAATACCGAACATACCTGGTTTGGTGGTGGTACGTCGTTTGGTAATTGAAGATTGGTCAACAAATCTCTCACAGCCGGAAACAATGAACATTGTCCATGTGGAACGCCATATTCCGAAAAACGTCGCAACAATGTACTAGCTGCAATGGCGCCTGGTGACTGAGGTTGTTCACGCTTTTCAGCCAACTGTGTTAAATTCGAATTAAGATCGTACACCATGGGTAAAACAAGTGAGGGGCTATCCTTCCACTCCTTGCCATTATATGGTATTCTTGTGATTTGTAACTGAAATTAAATGAATTCAATTTTGAAACAATTAAATATAATTACACTTTAAACGACTTCTAACTTACAAAGAATAATATTTTTAATCGCACTATATGCACGCCAGCATTTCCAATGGGCACAATTGGAGCCGCTGATGGTGGCACTCGGGTGCAGAACTGCACTGTCCATTTCAATTGATCTCCTCCCAATTCTGGCTTCATTTCCAAACGCATGATTTGTACAAAATCTTTTAGAACTTGTGGTGCACAACTTAAAACACGAGAAAAGCCGTGCAATGAATTCGGACGATAAGGTGGCGCAGCCACTCTTGTATCAAAAAATTGCTCCAACACAAGAAAATCCTCGGGACTTAATTGGAAAGGTTGCTTGCCATCCGGCGTTGGTGGAGGTGGCAATGGGGCAATTTTCATGTGTAGAGATTGCATGTGCACCTGATTTAGAGTCACCTGACATTGCATGCCATCGACTTTGAACAGGACTACGCCGGGTTCGTTGGAGTTTAATAGCTGTAGAGTGTCATCACTTTGAATGTTTCTATAGAGTTGACGCCTCATGTAGACACAACCAAGAAAACGTTCCAGTGGGCTTATGTCCGGTGTTACACCGATATCTTTGTTAGGATGCGGACTCGGACGACAAAGTAAATCCAGCTTTTCGTGTGTCAATATAGTTGGTATGGCGCCAGCCCATGAGCGGTTTGCTTGAGGCATTCGATTGAGACTTTGTGAATTGCCCGGGTTATTGCCTGTCGGATTTTGGCCAGCCGTACCAGATTGGCTAGATTTGTGATCAGGACTTTGGCCAGGTCTAGGCGACGGTCTGGGCATACTCGGAGATCCGGGCCAATTACTATTGGCTGGTGACATAGCCGCAAATGGTGAATCTTGGTGACCTTGCATGTACAATGTATTAGGGCCAGGACTATGCACCATATGTGGACTCGGCTGAGGGTTCAACGGCGATGAGGGCATAAGTCCACTCGGCGAGGGATGTGGCATATGCGGACCTGGCGGTGAAGTTAGATTATAGTTTGGGTGATTTTGTCCGCTACCAGCACCTCCAGATGATCCGCCGCCAACAGGATGAGGACTAGCTGGGGTGTGGGGATTCGAGCTTGAGGGTGGTGTATGTGGTGCCGGAAAACGCAATCCACTATCTCGTGGGGATTGAGGTCCTCTCATACCCGCGCTAAGAAAAGGCGATGAGCCTCCCGTACCGCCGCCTGAAACGCTACTTGGCCCACCAAAGTTGTCCTCCATTCCCAAAGGCGAGGGAGGGTTGTCATCTTCACTTTGTGATCGACCGCGATAGACTGCATTCTCGTCAACATATTTGGAAAGGAATCCCTATATATGATATTTATAAGCAAAATATTGCAAACATACAATGCATTATGTCATACATACCTTCAATCCTTGTATTGGCGTGAACTCGGCAATTAAGTTACGATCGAAACGACTAAAGGCACCATCGCGTATTGAAACCAAACGTCCTGACTTGAAACGTATCTCAAGACAATATATCGATTGATATGCCAGGCGTATCAGACAAGGCGATTGCGGAAGAATACAGAATGATAACACGGGAACGTGTGGACGCTGCCAAATAGTTGAGAAATGAGAATTAGAAAATTAATTGAATTACGGCTTTTGGTAACATTTATTAATAATTTACCGGTATTCCTAGATGGGGAATAATTGGCAGTTTAGCAATTGATGACAGAGGGTTATAGGTCTCATGTAAGATGCACACCATTTGTGCCAAGCTTTGTTGGTTATTCAGATGAGTAGCCAATTGATCTCGCATCATCGCATGAGCATTTACCGTTGTTATTCCACCCATGAAAGACAATCGGAAACCATGCGATTGTGCCGACCAATAAATATTGCAAATCACTTCTTTTTTGGGACCATAGCCGAGAAGAAGATTTATATAATTGTACGAATTTATACTGACCATATCGGCAATATTTAATCGTTCTAAAAATGATGACGATATCATTAGAAAATTGATGTATTAACGTTTTCCAATGACTTACTGTTTTTGATGTGCTCAGCAAAGTTGTACGCTAATGTATAGAGATATACTATTTTCGACCAGTCTTTTAGTAGATCATCGACAGTTTTTGAAAAATCGTGATTACTTTGTTCATATGTAAGGTAAACTGTTCGTCGGTTGCCTTGCTCCTTGGCATGAGTACTTTGTAGGGGAGTGCTGAAAAATACAAATTCTACAACCCATATACGAATTTGATTATTTTGTTTCATTTGAGAACGAATAGATATGGACAGCAATCGTTTCATTAAATCTTTCCAAATGTGTGGCTCAATGGTGGGCAATGTTGGTCCATGAGGCTGTCCCTAAGTGGGAAAACAATGAAGTTATTATTCTAACTTGTTTCCCTATGTTCAAATTAACACTTACCTTCGCCTGTTCTTGGCTATGGGGTTTTCTGGGCTTTGGCAAGGCGAGTATTTTTAATACTAATGAAGTGGCATTAGATTCCACTTGCAAACCACTATGCGGAATATTGTGTTTGGTCAAGGCTTGTGCTAGATTCAAAAAAGGTATTTTCTCGTCACACATGGCCACTACATGAGCAAGTTCTGGTATAAAGTAAGCCGGATATATAGTCTTTGCCTGTTTTGCAGATGGTGCTCCATGTTCAAAACCCGCTTTACGTTTATGTGGTGGTGTGTCTAAACAGACGAATGTTATTTCAGGAGGAAAATTATTTCTAGCGAGGTATAACTCACCGTCAACATCTGTGCCTGGGCCGTGAGTAGAGACAAAAGTATCAAATTCAATAAGCTTTAGAAGTTTTGTATAAACTCTTGGCACTTCGGCATTTGGAGCGTTACCCGTAGATTGTTGGTTCATATTGGCATGTACTGGGACCAATTGTTGTGAGGATTCATCCACAGTTGCATCGGTTTCTTTTGTCTGGAAAGCAACGAAACCTAAGTGGAATGTATACTCCATTTCATTGGGCGTGTTGGGCTTCTCCTTTAACTGTACAACCTGTAAATAAGAGATAAGTTTGTACATAGATTGTAATTCACTTTTCCAACAGGTGCACACATACTAATATAAAATTTGGATGACGATGAAGTTTAACGAAAATTTTATGTCTGCCCGCCTGGAGCAATGGATTGTCTGGTGCCTTGAGAAATGGCAAAGTTTCCGTTGCAGTGGCAGGCAAATGCTGCAATGTCTTTTCACAACGTCGATGAGTTATCCAGTAACGTAGCTCTGACATTATTTGTGGCAATTTGTTGCGGTCTCCATTAAGGCATGCCTGCATTTCTGGCATTATTGGGCAGTCTAAATGTTTGGGGACGTGGCAGCGTAACATACCCGTGTGGGTGTCGATTGTTATGTGAATTTGTTCGGCCCTTAAGCAGGGCGTTAACACCGGCACTGTTAGTATAGCTGGGGTACCTTGTAAGTTAACTAAATAAATATAGAGTAAAGTAAAAAAGTTATTTCTATAGCATTACAGCATCAACTCTTCGACATTTACACTCACAATCGACATCTTTGAGGAAAGCTTGAAATTCCAATTTCAAGTCAGATAACCGTGATACTGATCGGATATAAACAGTATGTACAATAAGGCGTTCCATGGACAAATGATCGGAACGTACAGCACGATCAGCAACCTCAGCTGATTCTTTCGCTCCAAGAGAAGGTATATGCACAACCGCTAGGGGACGTCCGATTTCATTTGGGTCAGATTGTACTGTCAAACGGTAACCCAATTCGGATTTGGGATCCTTACTGGTTAATTCACGCCAGTATGAAACAGTTACTTTGACACCCGGTATATATTCCTCGACTTGTATGTTATCGTCCAAGCGCTCATAGCTAAGACGTAATGTTTGTGTGTACAAAACCTCCAGTTGAAGTGATTGACAGAAATAGTGCAGGCAATTGTAAACTTCACTAAGGGCATTTGGATTTTCCACAAGACGTGCTTGTATAAGTTGATGTATATAATTGACTTGAAGCGGATGAACTAGGGCCTTTCCATCTATTTGGTAATTAATTAAATATGAAATAGAAGCTCAATATTAAATGAAAGCATAATTCAATCACCTCCTGTTTCCTTGTCTTCAACCAAAACATCAATATCAAGCAACCGCCAGGGAACAGTTGGACTATCGCCCATCACTGTCAAAGAAACTCTAAACTCATGTTTCACCTCAAATGTGACGCGGCCGTTTCGTATCTATACAAATTAAAAAGATAGTATAAATTATTCCGAATTGTAGTTAAGGACTTGTAAGACTACCTTAAACTCCCTTAACTGAGGCATAAGTTTTCCCGTAACTAGTCTGTGTTGTATAACTTGATTGAGACGTTGCAAAGTCTGGCGTTTTTCTTGAACTGTAATTGGATCTGGTGGAACAATGCGCTCTCGGATGCAGGTTGGTAAGCGATTGTAAGTTCCTTTGGTTAAAACTTCGACGGCAGCGGGTATATGAAAGTTGGGCAAACATGCCCTAACCAGTGTTTCGCGGGACATGCGTGCCAGCATGTCTGCCGTCTCTATAAACAGCATATTTTGTTTGTCCAAAAAGCTCATTATATTCTAAGAATCAATTTGGAAAGGTTAAATAGTAATACCCAACGCAATTGGTTATATGTATTACTCACCGCTGACTTGTCCACTTTGGATACAGAATTTGCCCATTTCACCAGAGCTATGAGACGTATAAATAACTGTCTTGTGCGTGCAGCGAAATTGTAAATTTCAATTTTACGTTCCATATCCGACTTTCGGGGCAGCCTAAAAAATTAAAAATTGAGTATTATTGACATGTGTCAATTTTCTACATTCACATATGGAGTCATTGGGAAGATCACTTTCCCCAACAAATTATTAGAAATGTAGCACTTACAATTCTGCCAGGACGGTCAGATCGTGATAGGTTCTCTGTATGATGAAATCAATGAGGACTGCCAAGGATATAGTGTTCATTCGAGGACTTCCTTCTTGGCCTTGCGGCAGATAGCCTGCCGCTAGACCCTGTTCCAGTGGCTGTGGTGCCATCATGTAGATAGTTATCACAGCTGTAGAAAATAGTCGTTAGTTTTATGAATACTTTGAGAAAAATTCACAACGAGTCCTTAAAAGTCACATTTATTTGATATAAATAACAATATTCCCGCAGATTTAGAGAATTAAACAAAAACCTGACAAAATTTGCAACCAGGGATATGTAAGTCGACATTTGACCAAAGGTAACTCGATGTAGCGAATAATCGAAAGGAAAATCGATAATTAGTTATCGATTTTTGTTTTGCTTGTTTGCGGTGTATGTCATTGAACGATAATACAGGTTCTCCATTAAAATTGCCTCCTGCGTTAATACAAGCCAATTTGAATTCGGCAATTTTGTTTTTCATATGTAAATGTAAAAATATGTATTTAAAAATAAAATCACAAAAGATAATACCAGTATGAGCAATTTTTTGCCATTTTTACACTTAACCCTCTCTCCGACAAACAAATACTTGTCATAAGTAAACTTGCCCAATATACATTCGGACTTATAAAATCGCATGAATTATGTTTTATAGGAAAGATAAAACAATAACATTTATTTCCCAGAGGTTATTTAACATTTTTGATTTGCTAATGTCTTGCAATATATTTACAGACCAAATACCAGCTGTCAGCAAATATTTTGAATTATGAGTTGTGCAATTAAAAGACACTTTCGGGTTAATATGTAAAATTGGATAAACAAATATCCCCTGTAACTGGATCAATAACTCAATGTACTGCAGAAATTTAAAGTGTTATCTTATAAATAACATTTTTATATTATTATAGCCCAGACTTCCGACAAATTAGTTTTGTTCCAATACCAGCAAGAATTTACTAGTTTTGCAATGGCTAAATAAGAAAGGTTGCTCAACTTCAAAGAAAGTAGAAAAAATGCAACTCTGTGCTGGAGTCTTGTAGTGTCAAACATACCTTTAAATATGCAACAGTTGGCATTGTTTATTTTTTAACAAAATTCTTATATTATTAAAAACCCGCCAAACAAGAATGGAATTTCGGGATTATTCCACAAGATCGAATCTAAAATGGTGGGACAATACTGTTTTATCAAAAAATTGTACAATTTACTACCCATTTCGTCGAAAATTTGCATTTATTTTTCAACCAAATTTGAAATTATTGTATTTTTTTTTTTTTCAAGACAATACACACACATATACAAATGGTCTTTTCCAGAACTGCAAGGATGTAAATGTTCTTACCATGATAACCGATTTTCCCTTTATGATATCGGAGAAATTGGCAAAACTAGCAGATTCTTGCAGGTTCTGGAACAGACCAAAAATGTGTATATGTTTTGACAGAATAAGGACACAAAAAGAAAAAAAATGTATGCCATGAAAATTGGTTATCGTAGTAAAATTTTTTACATTCTTGCAGTTCTGGAACAGACCAATTATGTATCAATAATTTAATATAGAGACAATTGATGTCGAAAAATAGGAATTAATTCGCATTAACGACCTTATATAAGGAAAATAATGCATCTTCCAATGTTTTATCATAAGAAAATCAAATTTTGAATTTTTTGTTATTGTTCGAATGCAAAATGTAAACAACGCCTTGCCGGAAAAATTTGCGACTTTGGAGTGTACCAGAGTACTAATGCTGTGTGATGCTTTCAGTTTGTATGTAGATTCCGCACCGGACTTAATATAAACCCGGTCGTGAGAAGATCTATTTTTGTATGCTAAATCTGTTGAATAAATCCATATTAAACAATAAAGCCTGAAAAGTATCGTCGTCAAAAAATACTTGAAAGTGGTGATAATAATTTATGCAACATGTATGTGCAGTAAAATTCAACTCTAATTCAAAACAATTTTGTGTAAACGCCAGGATACCTACCATGGTAGACGATTACAGGTAGTTGCATTGACGCAGCTGCTTCGACATTACTGTCAAACCACTTTTAAATTTGAAAATTTTGTATGAAAAATTATTCAAATTCGTTAACCTTCCTATACTCGCGCATTGTCGGTGAGACAGACTAATAGTGTTTTAAGTTTTTTCATACGAACGAAGAACGAAATGAAAAACTATAAGTCATAAGTAATTTTTTTCTATTAAACTTTTTTTATATTACTCAAAACATACATTCCTAATAATACATGGGTTTTTAATAATTATTTAAAAAAAGTATAAGTTAAGAAGGCTATGAAAATATATCTTAGAAAAAATATATAAAAATATATCTTATCTTGACTACAACGCATGGTAGAAGAATATAGGTATACGCATCCACTCAGCTGCTGGGACAATGAACTGTCAAGCCAATTTTGGAATTGAAAATGTTGAATGAAAAATTATTTCAATTTGTAAAATTGATCTATATAGGTCCACGTTTTGGCATAGCTGTACTGACAGATTTAAGTTTTTTTTTTTGGTGTTTTAGTCAATATTTTAACCCTAAAGTGGAAGAAACCCTGTTGCCTAGATGTTCAGTATTGTGGAAAATGTGTGCCACACTTTTCACCGGAAATGTTTCAAATTTGGAATTTGAAGTTCCTAATGGGTACTACATCCTATGACGGAAAATTGCTCACACATGTCCACGGGTTCGTATATCTCCCATATATCTAACTATACCTGCCTATATTCGGTATCGTAATAGTCTATGACAAAAATTACATATGCATGTCCACGTCGTCGTATAGGTCCCAATATAACGGGAACTCGTGGTCTGTTCCAGAACCTGCAAGAATCTAACAGTTTTACAATTTTTTTTGGGTATCATAAAGGGAAAATCGGCATCGTAGTAAAAACTTTTAAATTCTTGCAGTTCTGGAACAGATCACGAGTTCCCGTTATGTTGGGACCTATACGAATACGTGGATCTGCATATGCATTTTTGGCATAGACCATGAGGATATTCAAATACAAAAACTATAAACTCCAAGAATATACATCAATACAATAAAATAATAAATTGAAAATTAATGGATTTTTTTACATTTTTGAAAGACTGACACTAGCATTACTCACAATATCGACTTTCTATATTGTTGATTGTATGTTTCTGTTGCTTCTTTAATGCTGTATTTTATAAAATATGCATATTTGAAGAAAGAAAATGAGAGTACTCTGACATGTACATCTAAGCATATCCATCCAAATTAATAAGAATTGTCTAACGAATTATGTACACATTAATCTAAATCAAATAATTGGGAAATTTTTCCAAACAAGTTTTGATGAAAAACATTGGCATTTTTAATCAACTTCCTGACATAACACATAACTTGGTGCGGACGTTTTATGGCCTAGAGAAATTTATAAATAACCTCGGTTAATGTTCGAATGATGTTTACTTTGGAGCAGAACATTAAACATTTCGGATGCAGCACGAGATTCTTCCGTGCGTGCATTGGTGTCTTCTGGAAATGCAATAACAGCGCCACTTTAGTGCCTCCATTTTTAATTTCCTGTTTGGCTTTTTTTAACGTTGGTGTTGTTGTTATTTTTCTTATTTCATTTTCTGTTTTGATGTGCTGTTGTTGTCTTTTGGATTATGTGGAAAACATAAAACAACAACACTGTGCCATGTGATGTATTTCCATATTTTCCACAAAAAAAAGAGAACGACTCGTGCCACTTGAAAAATTAGTAATTTCGATGGAGGAAGCGAGAGATTAGATTGATTTGTTCCAATCATTGAACCGCCAAAGAAAAAGTATATTCGGATATCTTGCGTATTTATTTTTTAACAGTATGCAATCAATTTTCGGTATTCTTTTTGAAATCGTCAATTTTGATTTATTGAGAAGTTCCCAAATATTAATATTATTATGCATCGGACTTCTATTGATTTGAAGAGGCTATAAACGCGATTTCAAACTTTATATACCCTCGATCCTACCCATATAAACTTTTAAATGAACAAACCAAAATTGTTTACCTCAAAAGTCATTATGTGGCTCAAATGAAGTGGTTAAAATCACCAAAAAATATAAAAAAATTGAGGGCCTAATCCAGCAGTCTTCTGCCATAGAAGACAGAAACCTTTACAAACTCTACATACCGAATTAAAACGAATTCCCCTAAAAAAAATTGGCTAAAATCATCACCGAATATAGGGAGGTACCGAAATATGGGGGCTGTAGGAAAACGTGAGTATACAGGGTGAAATGAAAAAACTGCAACCAACATCAGACTGCTGCCTTTTCTAAGCCACTCGTTCAATAGCTGTTAAAATTATTCCACTGACACCTCATTATATTGTTTACAAGCGTACAAAATCACTTTGGTGAGAGTTTTCCAGAAAAAAGTCATTCGTGATGGAATTGAAAACTCGTACCATCGCTTATTACCGTGATACTGGTAGCGTAGCCCGACGTCAAGGAAGTGGACGGAAAACAGCAACATCAGCAGAAATGGTTCAAAAAGTAAAGAAGCGACTTGATCGAAACCCGCGTCACAGTGGTCGAAAAATGGCTCGTAAGCTGAACATATCGCAATATTCCAAAAATTCCAAAAAGTGGAAGAAGTTACACCGCAACAGAAAGAAAATAGACTCAAAAGAGCTAAAGAATTGCTTCGTTGCCCGAAAATGGTGAACTGCAGAATTTGGGTTTCAACGATGCGAAAACATTCGCTGTCCAGCAGTTTGTAAACAAACAAAATGGTAGTGTTTATTTGCCAAAGATGTCAGCTGAAAATGTGCACCTTTGGTTGCCCACCAGAACTCAAGCGCCAGCCATGGTGATGGTGTGGGCCGCCATAACAGCCGATGGTCGCTCTCCGCTCGTATTAATCGACCGTGGCATCAGTATAAATGCCGAATATAATCCGAAAATATTCTAGAGGATGTATTAAAGCATTGGGCACGCAAGCATTTTGGCCGCAGACCTTGGACATTCCAACAGGAGTCGGAACAATCGCACTCGGCACGCGCCACCCGAGAATGGTTACAAAATGATGTTCATCGCTTCATTTCCAGGGCACAATGGCCACCAAAATCTCTGGATACCAATCCGTTGGACTATTGTGTCTGCAGTATTTTAGAAAGCAAGGTTGGCACCTCAAGCAAGCTCTTCGCCGGGAATGGGCCAAAATACCAAAGAGCAACATTCGTGGTAAAGGTGGCCAAGTCGAAGAAATCTAAACTTATTCTAAAATATGATGGTATTTCCGACATTTTTTGCTTTCATTCAGTAAAATTAAAA